GAATGGTGTAAGAACTGCTTGTAGACATTTAAGACGTAGTGTGAAAATGATTTTGAAGGCTAAAAAAAGGACAGCCTGTATTACAGAATGACAGAACAGTTGGCAAGAACAACCCTGGTGATAATTTAGAAGGTAGAAAACACTCGTAAAGCATTATTGAATCTGACTAAGGAAATCTCCAAACAGAATAATGAAAGTGTCACTGAAGCGTTAATTCCCAAGTATAGTAAGATATTGTAGATGAGAAAAAATCTAAATGATATAAAATTATATATTATAACTTTCATGGAAAAACAGAATTTAAACAAAAATTATTTTGCTTTCATTGTTTTTAATTTCAGTGTATGTTTTTCATCATTTTTTCCATAAACTTGTTGAAGACTTACACAGTTTGTTCAGCAAAACTCAACAAAATGAAAAGTTCTAAGTTCTACTGAATTAGAAAACATATATTATTTTTCTTATGCAAGAAATGTGAAGATTCAGCCAGATAATTAACAACAACAACAACAACAAAACCGTTTACATTATAAGCACTTGACAGCTGCTCCTTAAATCAAAGAATGAGTACCTGTTATAACTGCAATCTACAATGCTAGACAGCGTGTCCACAGAAGTGACTCAGAAGCCACATTTGGTGAAGACGGGAGTCTGCACACAAAAACTGCTTTCCTTACACTAGTCTCTTCATACTTGTTAACTGCTCTCTAGTACATTCATTTGGTTAAAAAACAAACACTAAAATATATTTTAAAAAAACCGAGTTATTGATGTAAAGAAGCCCTGCTAATTTATTCTATCATGACTCAAAAAGCATTTCTGCATGTAGAACATGAATGGAGCTTAAGAAAAGACTGAAGTGAGATCAATAAAGTGAACATACTTCTGAACTAAATCTTTACTCAGCTTATAAGACACTTTGCCTTAAAGATCTAGCAAGTTCTTTGTCACCATAAGCATTCAAGAATACATAAAATTTCTTCAGTGAGGACGATTGACACGTGAGCTTAAACACTTCCGCCAGAGGACAATTTTGTCTTTTCCTAGAATTGTATGCTATTTATTCTGCTTTCTCAAAAGTTTTGTGTTTCAGTGACTGATAATTCAACAACCCAAGACTTAAAACACTGCCTTTCATTTGGTAATTACACGGGCATTTCCAGTTTTAGACATAGATAAGTGTGATACAGAAACCAGCAGAGGATACGAAAAAAATGTAAATGGCCTGTTATGTTTTGAGATCAATACACAGAACAATCAATTGTTGTATCTGTTAGTTGTTTGTTTATGTGGGTGTGGAAAAAAATCTCAATATGCTGCTTCTGAATAAAATATGTTTTTCAATTCATTTATTCACCAAACATTTATTAAACTCTCATATGTATGTATTGACACGTGGGACTTTTCTAAAAGGGTTTCAATTTGGGGGGGAGTTTTTATACAAGCAGCTGCAGTTAACACCTTGATTTCATTGAAATAATGATGAACTTTAGTCTGTAGTTTTTAATATTTTACATTGAGAAAAATCTATTATACATTCACCTATATACCTAATTATCTGATATTTCTCAATACAAAACATGTGGAATTGTTTTCATTCTAAAAATCAATCACAACTTTATTATGAATGGTAATTATGTAAATGTATATATACATACATATGCATATGTACAGCTTATAAATGAAGTGAACTGTTACTTTGGTTTGAATTAGGTTTAGTGTAGCAACAAACGCTTTTTAGTTTACTTTATTTGTAAGAAATATGCAACTTGCACTTAAATATTATACATTTGAAATATCTAATATGCAGCTGTCAGACAACAAAATCTATGGAGATGATTAGCACAAACAATATGTTTTCATCTATCTCCTACAAATTTAACATGAACAGAAGTCCAGGGATTAGATTATGTAGAGTCCAAACAATTTTTAACATTCACAGTTAGACAGAGTGTTTCTCTGTTTCCTCATGATATTTAATCAATTCTGTCAGATTGATTTCTTTCCCACTTTTCCTTTTTATTTGAAGTTGACTCTAATATGTATTTGCATAAAAAACTAATTTTATAATTATATTTAAAATAATTTGTCATATTTATAAAACCTAAATATCAAAAAAAGCAATTTAGTTATTTTGAGATATTCTGGGAAAGACAGATTGTCTTGGAAAGATGAAGAATATAGTTAATAAAAGCCATTTTTCATGTGATTTAAAACAAAAGCAAACACAGATCTTTTTATATTTACCATTAAAAATCTGATCATTTGCCACCTTAAAGAAAGTATATAGAGCTTTTATACAGACTGAAAAGTAAAGAATAATAATATTTGTGTTTACTGAGATATCTACTGGCATTTCACTGTAAGTCAATGCCCATCGTTGCTACAGCGAATTAGACCTCATCTGGCATCTACAAATGTCAAAAGCATAAAAAAATATATAGAATGAAAATCAAAAGCATTTTCTGAATTGCCCCAAAAACAAAAGAAAAGGAAACAAAGTTCACCTAAACATATTTGCTGCAGAAATCAGTGCAATATTCAGCTGTCAATCTAGAAAAACAAGGGAGCCCACTGTCAGTGGGACAGGATAATAACATTTCTAGCAGATGTTCAGGCAGGGCTCTAATTTTTGCTGAACTCCCTTGGTAAGCATTTAATTTCTTTATCATATGCAGGCTCTGCAAATTGTACTTCATCAAAACTGCTTTGTGAAATATTAATATTTCATACGATAACAAAACTCCATAGAATAACCTTTGTCATATTAAGAGGATCCAAATTTCAAATGTCAGGATTCTGAATTTTAATACATTTTAAACAGCGGCTTGCATTGCATAATAAATTATAATAAAGCTAATCTAAGTTGGTATGCTACAATGTCCCACAAATGTATATTATATACAATATTTTAATAGACCCCGTTAGTAAGCAATATGAGGAAAATGAGTGTTTATCTTACTGAATTGCATACTAAAGTATTTCATCAATAAGAAAGCGCAGAAACTCATAAGATATAATTGTATATTCACAAACTATTTAATCACTAATTAAGGAAAATACAGAAAAGCAAAAACTATCTCTCAATGAGGCACACTAGTCTGCAAAATCATGTATGGGAAATAATCTTTTTGAAAATGGCATTATATCTGTGCCAGGTGGTATTACTTTTTCCATAATCAGCAAAAATATGCTTAAAGTAGTTTTTGAGGAATATTTTGGTGTGCCTACCATCACAACACACAAAATAGGGTTTCCAAAATGCCACCATTATTGTTTTCTGTACCGAACTTAATTCACATTTGTTCATATCTATTCTTTTGAAACAGTATCACAGAGTTCTTGGTTGACAGATGAAATTTAAATTAGACGTTTCGAAGGAAGTTAGCTTCCACATTCATTTCTGCTGTTGATATTCACAAAGGAAACTGTTCCTAGCTTACTGAAAAACAGTGTCACAAATCAATGAATGGCACCAATAAAGACTGATGTTTTTGATTGAACATAATTCAATTTTTGAAGGCAAATAAAACAGCAAATTTAAAGCAAATATCTGCTTGTTTGTTTTTTCTTTTAACCACACTTTTTCATTTGTTGCTGGCTGGACACTTATTTCTGTTTACACACACACACACACACTTAAACAGCATAACTAATGTAGCTACCGAATGTTATCAGAGACTTTCCCCAACAGATTAAACATTTGATCAGTTTACGGATTCCCAGTAATACTTCAAGGATTGAAACAAAGACAAATACAATGCTAATTTTCAACAAGGTCTTGAGCAACTGACTCACAATACTGTAAAACTCTATCCAGTATGTTCTGTTCATTTTTATACCCCCTTATGGAAGTATGTATAAATTTGTCAGTTTGAAAAAATACAATATCCCTCTTGATATTTAAATATAAAAATCTTTCAAAAGTGTTCTTTTTCTGCACTGTTTTTTTCTAACTTTTGATTGTTATCTATAATTTTTAGACTACACTAACACACAGCATCTTGTGAAGCTGTCACAATCAGACAGCTATAATGTTTTACCCATAATAATGTCAGCTATTGATCCAACTAGGAGGAGAAAGAAACAGAGAATGTGCTTAATGGAGCATGTTTGCTCCCTTATTATTTTCTTTGCCTAAGGATAAGGCTGATTTAAATAATGACATTCTTTTCTTAGCCACTGGATTCCCAGATTCTTATACATTAATTATTATTAACTACCAGTTAACACTAAATACATGAAGAATTCACCACTAAAAATTTCTCAATAAATAGTATAAAAGCTGTTACAATATGACACTCTTTTCTAATCTTATGTCAGGTAATAATGTAATCCCAGGTTGCACAATCCATCATGTATTAAAATATGGCTTTATAATTTTTAGGTACTCTGAAGAATCAATCTCAACTTTAATATGTAGTATATTCCCCTCAAAATTCAAGGCATATGGTTTGGGGGAAAGTTTCAGTATTCAAAAATTCACAAGAAATCTTATAACACTTTAAAAAGACAGTGAAATACTCTTTTTTACATGAACAAGACCTCAGGACCTTGCACAAAAACAAATCGGCTGTTTAACTTTTAGTTGAGCTATATGACCTCATTCACATACAACCAAAAATCAGAAAACAATCATGACAAAATAAGAAGTCACACATTTATAATTATTAAAGGAGTTGCTTTCATAATTTTTCAGTTTGTAGTAAATATTTAAGTATAAATGACATCAATCTCCAGGATACTAAACCATTGGGCTTAGTATTCATAATTTTTACACTTGCATTTTACATGTCCCACAAACAACATAAAATAAGAAATTCATGTTTCTCCCTACTTCTGAAGAAATTTAGAAGAAATTTAATGAATACTGGGTAATGATAGTTCTTTTCAAGTAATAATAGTTATTTTTTTTTGGTCAAAAACATCTTTACAACATGTATGCTTTAATAAAAACTTGTGTTAGTAATTTCAACAAGGCTTCAAAAATATTTCCTTACCTTATCAAGAGAGAAAGTTTTGGTCAAGGCAAAACCCCATCCAGCTTCAAAAGCTCTTCGAATCATTGATGTGCTAGTAGCTGGAGTTGCACTCGCAAGACCAAAAGGATTTATAAACTTCAATCCAGCCATTTCCACACTGATGTCCACCAGATCAACAGGAGTATAAAAGAGTGGTAGCTCAGGTTTGGCAGAAACTGAAGCTCCAAATTGAGACTGCAAAAAAGAAAAAAAAAAAAAAAAATAAGTGCCCTCATGTCACATCCAAACTGTGCTCATAATCTTTTACAAATATCACTTCACTGAAGAATTTGAACTAATACAAAACATCCTGGTCTGTCCATAAAGATGAAAACACAAAATATCAGCAACAAACTACATTCAAGTAATGCCATTTGTTTCCGATTTAGTAGTACAGGGTATTAACAGAACAGAATCAATTACTTACACAAATAACTGCCTAAAACATAAAGCTCAAACACAAAAGAGAAAAATTTTATAATTTCTGATCCTGTTAATCCAGCATCTTTATCTTAATTTGTAAAAATATCTTTATTGTTCAGAATTCTGCACTAGAGCAAGGCAGGAGGCCTAAAATCAGCTTCTGGTCATTTTACTACACTTTATGTCATTGTAGGAAGGCCACCTCAAATTTCCCCATATTTTCTCTATAGTTTCTAGCGTAGCAGTAGGAATGCTAGTTAACTAATTTCCTGGAAAATGCTGAAAACTCTTAAACAACTGAGGAACACCTACTTTGGAAAGTGTCTAACATAATCATGTGCACAAGCACAGTTTTTTTGTTTTTTGGTTTTGGTTTTTTTTTTTTTGCTTTGTTTTGCAGAACCCCAACAGATATCATTAATGTATGTTGAAAGCTTCAGTTGGCATTCAAAAGCACACATTTATTATTGTGAAATGTTCTGTGTATCTTTTAGGAATGTTGAAGTGATTTAACAAAAACCTTATGAATATTGGGTACTGGCTGGATAGTCTTCTTTTTATTTTCTATCTGGAGAAGTTGTTAGAGAGAGGTATCATTGGATCTTTGCTTTTGAAGTCAATCTCTCTCTCTTCCCCCACAATGTTCTTCCTGCTTCCTCCTCCTTTCTGCTTATCTCTAGAAGACAAACAATCCTGGAAACTATGAAAAGGATGGAGTCTTCCAGTGAAAGTGAATGGGCAGGGCTAGTTAACTGAAAATTAGAAACCCCTTTTGTTGTGAATCGTCACTCAAAAGAAGTTATTTTGGCAGAATTTTAAGGGGCATGTCTTGTGTAGATAAAGATTACCATGACTTGCACAGACATTATTTCTGTCACTTTATGATGTTAAGCAAAATACACTCTTATATGTAAACATTTATCGAACCTGTCCATTGAAAGACATATGTGTCTGGTACTACAAAGGACAGCTTATGGACCAGGCAGAGCAATGGCAGGCCCTGCTGCCCGGGATGTTGGGGCTTCATATTTTTGCTGGTTTTGAACACAATTTGTTCAAACTTCACATGAGACGGCAACAATAATAAAAGGATTACCAGCAAAGACAAAAGCTCTAATGTACAATATAGGGGAATGGGAAGTAATTTAGTGTGTGTGTGTGTGTGTGTGTGTGTGTTTATGCACATTCACATGTTATTTAACACTGAGAAAAATTTAAAGCTATCTTGCCTATCTGAAAAGTTCTGAAAACAATGCTGCTCAACATTGTGTCTGATGCAATATACAGCATTAGGCATAAGCGAGAGAGACTGATGAGTGTAGCCCCAAGTACAGTTTACACTTTTAAATAAATAAAACATTACTGTAAAATTCTGAAGAAGGTTACTATCATAACACAAAGGAAATGATCTGGATACATTTTTCAAGAATTACTTTAAGGTTTAAAACAACAAAAAACCAAGCATACTAAAGCCATAACAACAAGACACGTATAGACACATGAAGCCTCTAAAGTAAAGCTGGTCATATGCAATACACATGCATTTAACATTTTTTGTTATTTACATAAATGTCCCTGATGTCAATGATACAGCCTAGACTCTCCATTTGGAAGAAGTAGTCTATGTGTCATAATGTTCATACATATAACTAGTGTTTCTTTTGTCTGTGTGGTTTTCAACCAATGTGCTGCTCATAGCAGTCCAGAATCTTCGGCTTCAAAATGCATTCCTTCCATCATATACAACTGTTTCTCTGAAGTTTGAAAGCTTGTTCCTCCTATGCATCTCTGCTTTGGGAAACTGAGTATTTCAAGTGTCATCTCCACTCCTTCCAAAACTCAAGTGCAACCCCTCAACTCTGAGCTTGCAGATCCTAAAGGCCTTGGGACTGGTGAGCTTAGCCCTTATTTCACACTCAACTCCTTTAACATGCATGCCATCTTGCCACTTCAACTTTTGACAATGATACTGCACCAATCACTTGATGGTGTGAGCAATTAAATGATAGAAGAAATCAACTGAGAAGCTGAAAAGCAAGTCCATAATGAGTCTACAATAGAAAGTTAGCATGAGAAATTATATTGAAGAATGTACTGAAATCAAAGACTGCAAACATTGAATAACAGCAGATTAAATACAAAGCCAAAGCTTTAGGTATGTATTCACAATGCACAATTATTTTGTAATACATTATTACTCATCCATTGATCATTATATTATAAGCCAGAAGGATGTCCCAGCATCAGAGTTTTAAATGAACTTTAACTCAAAGTTGCTTATTTTACTATTCATATTTAAATAATCCTAACTAGTGCAAAACAGATTTAAACCTATACTAAGGCCAATTTATTTTTATGTTTAAATGTTAGTAAATATTTATAATTGTATATAATTATGGCAAATATAATGTTTTATGAATGCAGTATGGAATAAAATAAAGATGGTCAAATAAAGATGGATATCATCACCTCAAATGTGTAATATTTTTGTGGCAAAAACATTTGAACTTTTTAAGAGCTCTTGAGATCTAAAATGTTATAGTAACTATATTCAGCATGCTGTGCAATGGATCTAACAATTTTTTCTCAAATTTCTCAATTTCTCTAAAAAATTCTCAACTGATTCTCTGTCTTTTGACCTTCTTCCTGTTTTCCAAAATCCCTCCCATAATCTCTGTAACTGTGGTTTTGCTCCATATTTTCATGTGCTGGTTTTGCATCCACACCCCAGTGATGTGGCATCTATCTCTGATGTCTGGGTTAGTTCACTTAACAATGTTCTCCGATCTCATTCATGTGAAGACTTCCTTCCTTTCTAATGATGAATAGTAGTCTACTGTGTATATATTCCATATCATTTTTATGCATTCATCTATGGATTCATACTTGGTTTGATTCCACAACTTGGAATCAAATAATACACTATTATCTACTAACCATATAGTATTATGGGTAGTAATGTAATAAACATGAGAATGTGGATATGTCTTTCTCAGATGGACTTCAAACCTTCCAAATAAATACCCAGAAATGGAGTTGTTGCACCAGATGATGTCTAACTTTCAATTTTCAGATAAACCTTCATTCAGTTAGCCAAAATGGCTGCAGCAATCAACATTTCCACTGATATTACACAAGGGTTCCCTTTTCTTTACATCCTTGTCAACATTTGCTATCTTTGGTCTTATAATAATAGTTACTCTGACAGGTGTAAGATAATACCTCATTGTGATTTTAACTTGAATTCTCCTGTGCATAGTGATGATGAGCATTTTTTTCATATTCTTGCCCCTTTGTACATTTTCTTTTGACAAATGTCTATTCAGATATCTTGTCTATTTCTTAATTTTATTTTTTCTTGCTATTGAGTTGTTTCAGTCATTTACGTGTTTTGAGATATTGCAAACTTATTGGACGCTTGGATGGAAATACTGTCCACTAATCTGTAAATTGTGTCTGTGTGGTATGCGTTATTTTTTCTGTGAGGAAACTCTTCAGTCTGACACAATTCTATATATTTTTGCTTTGGTTGCCTTTTTTTTTTTGAGGTCAAATCTGAAATATCATTGCCCAACTCACTGATTTACTGCTTTTCTCTTATATTTTCTTCTTGTAGTATTAGAATATCTCATTGTAAGTTGGTCACTAATGTGTGTTGAGTTGATTTACAGGGTTCAACATCCTGAATATGATATTCCAGTTTCCAAACTTTGAAAAACTATAATAACTTTGAAATATATAATAACTTTGAATATATAACTTTGAAAATTATAATCTTGTAAAGTGATTATAATTTTCTCAAGCTGTCTTGTTTCTTTTTCTCTTGAATCAAAATCAAATAATGATACATTCATTTCTGGGCACTCTGTTTTTATATTCTTTACCACCGGTAGATGTATCTACTTTGTCAATACAGTACATTAATAATGTTTTTAAATATTTGAAAACTCATTAAATGAAGAACAAAGGAGAATTTAGGTGGCAGAACAGAGTAAGGACACAGTTAAACAGATGGAGAATCATTAGCTAGTGTGAAGCAAAGGGCAAATTCCAGAAAATAGGATAGGAATGGCCAATGGCAGAGGGGCAGCTGGAGAATGACAGACATGAGACCACAGTGGAGACAACAGTGTTTTATTGCAGTGACTAGATACCCCAGTGGCAGTCAGCTAGTGGTGATCTGAGATCCACTGTCCGCCAGAGCTCTACCAGTATACAGGTGGAGTGGAGAGTTCACCTGGAGCTCAGGAGGTGAACCTAGGCAAAGAACTGCCCATCCTGCTGATTTGATTGATTTGACCAGGAGCACAGAGACAACAGAGGATCCCAGAGATCCTCTGTGGGAACAGGGTGGAATTGATAGTCCAGACCATCTCTTCAAAAAAGTTTTTTTTAATCTTATTAAATTCTTCACTGAGTCATAGATCATACAGTAGCACCATTTTCTTCCAGAAGGTTTTTTATTTCATTTTTCATTTCTTCGGTGGCATATTAGTCATTCAGTAGCATATTATTTAACTTCATGGTATCATAAATTTTTGTTTTTCTTCCTGTTGTTGATTTTGTTTTGTGGCTTTTCATTTAAGGGGATGTACAGTAACAGTGTAATGGTGACTATCATATCCAGGAAAATGATATAATGCAGCATGCAGCTCTGCTTCTAGATCAAGCATGGACTCCCAATGAAACTGTAAAATATATATTGAAAATAGGATGCTGGCCTCTTTGCCATTGGAGTTATGACTGTTCATAAAGAAGTATACTATTGTAAT